ACACCCCGAGAATAAGGGCAGGGCTTTGGGGCATTGACTGGAGCATGTTCCTGGTGGACTTTGAATCAGCAGCAGGGACATCTTCCCAGCTAATTCCCTGTGTGCCCCCCAGGCCAGGTAAGTGCCTGCCTCCCAAAACAAGCCAGCCCCAGCTGTGCAGGGATCTCAGGCTGCTCAGCTGTTTGGGGCTGTTGATGAAGATGCTCTGGTTCTCCCCTGAGTCGCCAGCACAGTCACAAATCTCCCTCCTCAAGGTGACGGGGAGAGCAAGCCCCCTGCAAGCCAGTGCAGGTACCTAGCACACATTTAAGACAGATGTCTCCAGCTCTATCCCTTCTGGTTTCTTCCTCCCAGGGGGATTAATCACTCTGAAAGGTCTGTGCCTCAGGGTAAGGGCAAAAAATTGGAATTTGAGAATGTATTGCCAAAGTTGCTGCATTCCTGCCCTGACCTGGCCAGACTGAGCATCATATTGCAGCCAAAGTGTAAAAGTAGTTTCTCCTTACTCATCTGAGAAGAGGGAACGCTTGCAAACTCCTGCAGCTCCCTGAAGAAGTTCAAAGCTGTTAAACCAGATTCTGGTCTGCTCAGATTTTTCTCAGTCTCAGCTGACACATTCTTTGGTACGGTGACTGCAGGGAAAGGCTGCTGGGGAATTTCTCATCATGCAGACTGAAAAAGCACATGCAACCCACTGTCTTTCTCTCTCTGTTTCAGTCCCAGCCATGCCATCCCTCTTTATTAAAGTCATTAACAGCACCACCGTGCAGGCAACGTGGGAACCCTCCATCAAACTGGGCCAGCACGAAGGCTTCAAGCTGTATTACCGCAAAGTCCACCTCTCCCAGTACACAGGTCCAGTGCTCCTGGCCAGCAACATCACAGCCTACAACATTACCCACCTGGGTGAGTACGGTAACACCTTGATCCGTGTCCCCTCTGCCCATCCTATTGTGATTAGCAGGAGAGAGCTGAAATGTGTATCCCAGCCCCTAAATGCTGCAGCTTTCCCCTAGGTTTTGTGGGTGCATTCCCAGCAACAGGTACTTGTTTGCAACATCTCATGTGTATTTGGTAAGGTGTTCTTTCCCAAATAAGCTTCACTGGGGGAGATAAGGCTCATGGTCACTGTCCCTCTTGTGTCCCCCTGGGCAGATGCGTCGGTGGTGTATGAAGTCAAACTGCTCGCCTACAACCAGCACGGGGACGGAAACTCCACTGTCCGCTTTGTGTCCCTGAGGGAAACTGTGGAGAGGACAGGTGAGATGGGACCGTGGTCTCAGTGCTGGTCTGGGAAACAGCTCTGCAGGAAGGTGGTGGGACAAACACATCCTGTGTGCCCCCTGTGGCATTACCCTCTTCTCACCTTCAGCCACTCATTTATTTTCAGCATCACAAATAATGCTGAGCAAAACTGCAGGGCTAAGAGCACCTGGATGGCTTTTTTACCAATGGGGAGAAGACAAACCAAATGTTTTGCACATGCCAGGTTTGTCCCCTAAGCTTGAGACAGAGGTGAAGCTATGAACATGAACAAGTCCCCGTGCATAAGGTACCAGCTGCCATCCTCAGGTGAGATATGGTGCACTGAGTATCTCTGCTCTCCTGGAGCTGTCCTGGGTATTTTGGCCTTCACTGGTCAAAAGAGAGGACACGTGGCTTTGGAAAGGGAAATGGCTGCAGAGCACGAGCCCTGTGTTACATGGCAGCAAGGGAGAAACCTCTAGAGGGAATCCTTTAACTTATCACACGTTTCATATTCATCTATGTGTAAAAAACATCCTGCTGCTCTTGGAAGCCTTTTAAGCCTCCAGTGGGAATATCTTCAAGAGATAGTTATTACTCTTCTGTCTGTGCTGGAGTAAATACTAATCTCATTGGCATCTGTCTACTCCATCAAGTTTCAGCCTGCTCTGGTGTGGTGACTGCCTCTTACCTCCCACTGTAGCATGGTGTATTGCAAAAATTATCATCAGAGTGGATTTTTTTCATTAATTGTGTCTAATGACAGTAACCAGGTAATGGGGCTGGCTCACTACAGATATTCCAATCCCGTGCTTGCTATGTCTCCCTTCCTGGGGTGCTGGGAGCAAGGGAGGTGCATAGGCAGGAGCAAACCCCTGTTTCCCACATGGTTCTCTTCCCATACACAGCTCCTAGTACTGCCCAAGGCTCTGACTTTGGCTCTGGGCTCTTCAGAAGCCAGAGGAGCAATAGAAGAGTAGCACCACTGACCTATCCACCTTTTCCTGGCAGTGCTGAATCCTCCTTGTGACTGCATGAAGGACGAGCAGAACAATAAAACCTCCACGACCGGCATCATCATCGGGATCCACATCGGCGTCACATGCATCATATTCTGCATCCTCTTCCTTATGTTTGGCTACCGAGGAAGGTAGGGATGCTCATGCCACTGCTCACAAGGGTACACTGCTCCCTGGTACTGTGGGTGTGCCCACCTGAGTCTCACATCCCCAGTGCAATGTTGGACTTTATAGGATGGATTGAAGGATGAAGGAATGTAGCACAGGGACAAGGCAGATGCCAGCGTGGGGGAAGGAACAGAGGATGAACCACCTCTCTCACTCTCAGGCTCCATCTCTTTATTTTTCAGGCTGCTGATGTGCAAAAATGTGCAGGAGCAGCTGTCAACCCCTCAGATCCCCCGGAGCCAGCGGAGTGCCACGGGCCTTGTCCTGAACGGGGCCACTCGTAGAGACAGGGACGACCGGGACTTGAATGGAAAGCAGCTGGATATGAACGAGCTGGAGAGGTTATTCCCAGCATCCCCATCCCAGGAGCAGCAGGAGAAGGGAATAATGGTAAGTCCAGCAGCATTGGAGCACACGTGGCTGTGCATCGGAGAGCTGTCACTGTCACTGTCACTGTCACTGCATTGTCCCCTTTTCTCTGTCTCTCCAGTCGGCTCACAGCCTGTCAGCCCCCCACGATGAAACCCAGATCTCCACACTCCCTCTGGATGAGTTCAGCATCATTGAGGAGCAGCCGGACCCCCTCCCAAAAAACCCCCATGGCAGCAGTCCTGCTGCTCCGGCTCCCAACCATGGTCCTGCCAATGAAGGATAAAACTGCCAAGATTCCAAGCCTCTTGTAGGAGTTACCAGAAACCAAACCCGCGGCTGGTGATGTCTTTATGAGTTGTCAATCTCAGGTCAATTGAAGATTTCTACGGTGTGATTGTTATTTTTTTGTTTTGCTTTATTTTTATATATATATATAAATATATATATATATATGTATACAGCCTTTTGGAAACTCTGTGAAGTTTATCTTTCTGACCTCTCTTGAGCCTCTCAATGTGTTTCTTCCGATGATGGCTCTCTGGAGACTGGTCACGATGGATTTTCCCCACAGCTGCTATGTAACAGACTCCTTGGCAGAGTTTGGCAAACTCTCCAGTCTCTGACAGACTGAGGATACAGTGGAGCCCCCATCTCTTGTCATCCCAGACTTTTTCCTGATCAGCAGCTTTAGAACTACTTTTTGGATCTATCTTTATTTCCAGAAGACTGGATTTGGAAAAATCCTTCTAACTTGACTCCAAAAATTGAGGCCTAGGAAGGCTGTCTCTCCGTGGATTTGATGATTTTGTACACTTTTGCTATTTCTCAGGATACTTTTTTTGCTGATTGACTCTAAAAATTATGAAAAAAAAAAAGGAAAAAAAAGAAGAGTGTGTGTGTGTCAAAGGATGCCTGAGGGCTACTGAAAGACTTGGACAGACAACCCAAGTGAACTCAGAACCTACCTCAACCGGAATGAATGTCTTCTGGGAAGCAGAAATACCTGCGTCTTCCTTCGTGTTCAAACAAACAAGTAGTGTAGCACTTGGTCAGTACAAGCATGGTCCTACCTCAGCAGTCACGCTCTGTACCCGCCACCTTGGTGGCTTCCTTGTTGTCGTTCCCATCTAAAGCACTTCCAAACCTTTGAAAGCAATGTTCTACCTCAAGCGTGAGAGAAACTCGTGTGTGTGTGGGTGTGTGTGGGTGTGTGTGTATCCTCCCCTCTCCCTCAATTCCTGCCTCTCCCACCCAGCCCCACATGAAGCATGATGCTTCACTGGTGTTATGAGCTTTACTTTTGGGGGCTCCAGTGTGATTTTGTGTGGTGGAGATTCGTGTTGTGGTTTTTTACTTTAAAGATTGTTGGGGCGGTCACAGACAAGCAGTGTGATGCCCTGTGGCTCCCTGGCACCACTGCCTTTCCAGGGCTGATTTGGGCACTGGTCATCCTGGGTTTGAAGGGATGGGGTGCTCAGATTCCAGTGCTGGGGCTAGAGCACCCTTCTGCCCCATCAGTGTGCTGCTCCCCAAGGCTGATTCCCACCAGGATGATCTATGGTGTGTGCTGGCATAAGCAGCACAACACACCCTTGGGAGGTGAGAACCTGGACATCACTGTCTTGTCCCAAAGCCCACCCTGCTATCAGGAGCAGCCGTGGGGAAACCACGGTAAGGAAACCTGTGGGGAAACCCACTTCCAGAATCCCTTGAGATGCTACTGAGCTGCCCCCAGCTCCTTCAGCGCCTTTCCAGCCACAGGGAATGTCCAAAGGATGAGTGGAGCCAAAAAGGCCTCGGTTCCTTGGGAGGGACAAGGCAAGGAGGTTGCTGGGGGCTGCCAGAGCTGCCCCTTCCCATGCCCATGGTGGGCAGAGGAGCTCCTGACACCAAAGAGAGGGTTTGTCCCCTCCAGAGATCAACCACCAACCTGACACTGTGGAGGTTGGGTTGTCCTGGCGTGGTGCAGCCTTGTGAGTCAGTGTGTGACCAGCATCATCCATGGGTGAGATGGGGGCACACACAGGGGACAGGGACACCAGGTGCCAGCTGGTGCCAGAGGGCAGCCCCTTCCCTGCTGTGTGAGGTGGCTAAATCCAGGCAAATGTGAAGGTGTGATCTCTTTGTGTAGGTGGTGGTAAATCAAACGTTGCTGTACTTGCAAGGACAGTGAATAGAATCAGGAAAGGAAAATCGTTTAAGTTTTTAAAAAGTATGAATTGTATTTTTTTAAATGGGACCAGTGGGAGAGTCCCTTGTGTCAAAAACACCCCTGTCACCTGCCCAGCTGGCAATGGGATGCAACCAATGACTGTGTAAATAGTACAATATACAGGAGACTGAGCAAATGCCTCTTCCCAGAGCTGAGTTCTGGTGCTGGGCAGGGTTACCTGCAACCAGGACTCTGTCCTTATCCAGCTTGGCCCAAGCAGATGTAATGGCACCAACCTCAAGAGCAAGGAGCTGTTCAGGCTCAGCGTTCCTAGCCCTCTTCCATTAAAATTCGTCCTCCTGTAGACATAATGCAGAACAGAAAAGATGGAAAGGATTAAATTTTGTCATTAACACCCCCAAACAGCCTTTCCCCACCCCACCAAAGAGGCTAAATGGACTGTCAGATGATCCCTGCTCACATCTGTGGTGCTGGACCTGGAGACAGCTTGGGGAGGGACTGTGGGGGGACAGTGCTGTGTGAGACCAAGAGCACAGCCCACCCCATCGCAGGAGCCAGAGGATGCCAGGGCTAGGGCAAGGCAGGAGGGAGGAGAAGACACCAAACAGCTCAAGTTATAACCTCATATCAAAGATAACCCGACCCTCTCCTGCCATCCCACTCCCACTCCAGCCCAGTTTTTCTTTTTATTGTTTTTCTTGTGTGTGTAACACCGCCGTTCACATTGAATAAGTACCGTTGCCAAAGTGAACACAGAACCTAGAGTAGTGTTCAGCTCAGACTTCCTAGAGCTGTGAACATGCTATTAATTTAATATCATATTATTGTGATATTGCAATAGTAACAAGTATTTGTCACTACTTCCTTTTATTAAAGGGAAATTCTGTGCCATTTGACTAGTTGGATTACAATAGTATGTCAAGAATAGAGTTTTTTCTTTTGTTGTTTTTTTAATTATGCAGAAACATGGTGGCTTAAACCAATGCAGATTCTGTGTTGGTTTGAGATGGTTGAAGATGGATGTAAATCTTTAAAGACTATTTTTAGATGTTTAGCTTTTCCTCTTTTTTGGGGTTTCTTTTCTGCTCTTGTCAATTAGTACCATTGGGACCAAACACAGACGGTTGTGGCAGCTCTGTCCCTGAAGGGATGAAGCTGAAGTCTGGTGATCCATGGTCTTCCCTAAATTATCTAAGTCCACCAAACTGGGCAAAAAAACCCACTCAAAATTACATATTGGCTTTGTGCCTCTGGCTGCCGCTAAGCTGTTTGTACAGCGACACGTAACAGCCCCACTGGCTGTACTGCAGTGCTTGAACAGGGCTGGAAGCAAAGCTGTCCCAGTCCAAAACTTGGGAAAACATCACCTAGCATATGTCTGGCCCTTAATCTGTGAAATGAGAAGGAAAAAGGAATTTAAAAAAGAGCTTGTGTTTGGTTTCAGCATGGGCGACAGTCTGTCCTTCATTCATCCAATCTGCTGCCCTGGTTTGGAAGGAAACTGTTGGAATTTCATTCCGTGTTTGGGGCACAGTTGTACTCAAGTAGACAAGTTGTATTTGGGTGGATATGGGAAAGCAGGTCCCCGTGTGTTGCAGATAGGCTATGCCACAGGAAAGGGGTTGAGGCATCATTGGATGTCCCCAGACCAGAGGCTGAGGCAGCCAGACAGTCCCAGGGTGGTTCCCAGCGCCTTTCACCATCAGCACCCACCTGCCATCCAAGGCCAGCACTCCCTTCACACTCCTTTACATACAATAACGTTTAAGGAACAGCTTGCCAGGTTTCTTATTCCTCTTTTTTCCCCCCACTTTTCCCTGATGGGAGGAAACAGTTCTACCCAGAGGTAAAACCACTGGATGATGGGCAGGTGTTGGATCCGGTGCAAACTGGTGGAAACTGCCTGTGTTTGGGGTAGGAATCTCATCCTTATAGTACTTTTCAAATAATTACACTAATTCAACCTGTTGCCTTTTCTCAGCTGATCCCAAAACCCCTCTTATTTTCTGGCTGTGGTGAGATGAAATTACAGGAAAGAATAAATATCCGAAAGCTGATGTTTTTTAAAATTATTTTTGGTAACCCATAATGGGCAGAACCTCTTCTTGGAGATCTCAAGTTAACCAGAGATGGCTGCTTCCTCAGGGATAGTATCCACATTGTCTTTAGTTGAACAGGGAATAGTTTTATGTTGTGACAGGGTATTTTCACACTGTTGGATTCAGGTATTTATTTGTCAACCATTATCTTTCTTCTTCCTTGTTTTGTAAAGGGGCTGATATATTTAAGTGCTGGACCAGTTTGGGAATTTTAAAGCTTCCACCCAAAATTATACCATGGGACTGTAGGTTTTAAGTTGGCAATAAAAGAGGAGAGAAGCTATGAAGTGTTGTTGCCTCTGGATAGTGAAGGGAAGAATTTTGCCGCCTGTGGGGGTGTTCCTCTGGGATAACCATCCCATGGCATTTCAGGGGGGATCAGTGCAGTGTCTGAGCCCTCTCTGACAGCACTTAAGTCTGGGAAAATTGGTTAAAAAAAAGGAAATTAAAAGCTTATGAAAACAAAGGGGGGGAGCTCCTCACTTCATCTGTGCAAACAGTGTGTGGAAATCTATCCCTCCCCGTGTGCGCCGGAGCAGGCAGGTTACAGATCCCATTGAGCAACTTGATGCCGGCTCATTTATTTCCCTCACCCACCAAATTAAAAAAAGGGAAAGGAAAAGGAAGGTGCCTGGGCTGGAGCTGCGGGCAGGGAGATGGGGACGAGTGAAGCACCAGCAGCCCCAGCCGAAAGTGCTGCTGGCACAGGGCCATGGCACCGAAACCCCTGAACACTGGGAATCAGGGAAATGGCTCCAGGTGTACTCCAAGGGCACAGCCTGGACTTCAGCATGATGTGGGAAGAAGGGACGGGGCCGGTGTGAAGCCCAGAGAGTCGGGGACAAGCCTGATTTCACGGGGCTTTGGATCAGGGTCTGACTTAAAAAGCAAAGAGGGATTTGTACTTTGATCCTATTTCCATCATTTAAACTTGCAATATCTGCGTTTGTAAGAAAGTCATAATAAAACCAATGCTAAACCTTTGTCCCAGTCCTTTTTGGGAATAAACTGTTAGGAGTAATACTAAAAACCCAAATTGCAAAGCACTTTTCTACTGTTTATTTTCTACCTTTCTTACTTTGAACTGTCTTGATATTGAAATCCCACTGATCCCACGATTGTTAGCTCTGTATTAAAAAATAATAATAAAATAAAACCCAGGTTTTTTGTAGTTTGCTCTGTTTAGATTTTAGCCTGTGGCTACTTGTACAAGAAAAATAAAACTAGAATAAATGAGCCTGTCTGGAGCTTTTCTTTTCACATGCAGGACTGTGGTGTGGGGATTGTTCAGGGCGATTTGGGCCATCACCACTTCAAGTGGCTGGCAATGAATCTGGTTCCTCTCAAAGAGCAGCTTCCAAAATTCAGCATTTAAGGGTTGAAGGGTTTTTATTTTTATGCTTTCCTCATAAACTCCAGCAAAGCCATCAGCAGAGTCCTGCTGGAGCACGGGTTCTCTTTGGGAGCTGGGTGAGATGAGACCTCCAGGATCAGTGTGACACCTGTGCTGAGAAGTGCAAATCAATTTCCAATTAATCTTGGCTCTTGCCCAGCTATTGCTGCAGCTGCTTTTCCCGCTGCCTGCAGCACTAACAGGACAGCACCTGTGAGGGTGGAGAGGCCCTGGCACAAATGTCCAGAGAAGCTGTGGCTGCCCCATCCCTGAAGTATCCAAGGTCAGGTTGGATGGGGCTTGGAGCACCCTGGGACAGTGGAAGGTGTCCCTGCCCACGACAGGGGGTGGGAACAGAATGATTGTTAAGGCCCCTTCCAATCCAAACCATTCTGGGATTCTAAGATGTATCCTTTCCCCAAATCAGGCTGTGAACCATGAGCCACCCTCCTGCCACTGTCCCATGTCCTACTGCTGCTGCCCTCAGTGCCAAAGGACAGGCAAAGTAGAGGCTGTGAGGAATAAATGAGCGAGAGTGAGCCCAGCAGCACTTTCTAAAGAGGTTTCAATAAGGAGGCGAGTGAAAAGTTGCTTCAAACAACTCCCCAAAGCTCTCGGAACTGCTAAATTGCAGCATGGATTGTCTAAATATATACTTCATAATAAATACCAGCATAAAAACTGATTTTATTTCCCAGTGGAAATGCAAGAGGTGAAAAAAAGATCAGAGTGGGCTCACTCGGGGGGTTTTCATGTAAGTTCAGTGAAATCTGGTACTGCAGATAGCAGCTGCAGAGTCAAGGTATTGTATAGAGCTTGTGGCTTTCATTAAAAAGGACTTTCCCTGCCTTCATGGCAATAAAAAAAAAGGTTTGACAATATTAATCTGAAGTCTTAGAAACTAAGGAAATAAAAAACCCCAAGCAATATGTTTAAATCACTTTGATTTTGGGCTGTTGGAAATATTAAGAGCCCTCCAAAAAACCCTGCTTGAGTGCTCAAAATTCGTCTTCAGCAGAAGCAATCTCCTTTTGACCATATGCATTCAAATTTCTGCTGGAAATGCCTCAAATCAACTCTTCAGCTACAGAAACACTAAAAAAAAACTAAGTTGGGTGTTTTCAGCTCCAAACACTGCGTTCCTGCCTCAGGTTTCACTGGAGATGTTACTGCTAATGTCCTAGTTATAACCCTGCCAGCACAGGGAGAATTTATAATATCCCATAAAGCCCTAACTATCGCAAAGGTCATTTTGGCGTTAATACCACTCGGGTATCACCGCTTCATTTGCTGACACTTTTACAGAGCCACGCTTGATTCCAGCACGGCTGCTGTAAAACCTTTACAGCAATGGCCTAAGCCTCCAAATATCATCTTAAAAATCAAGAGCTGGAACATCTTCATCAGCAGGTGTGGGCGGCTTGAAAAAGCTCTGCTCTCAGTGTGGGGTCCCCCAAAACCCAGCATGAGCACCCCAACCCCACTGCTCCGGGGTGGGATTTAACCCTCAGATCTCATCTCCAGCCCTGTTATTTCCAGCACCTTCAGACCCCACCAGTGATCGCTGCCTTGGCTAAATTAAAAGTCTCCGAATTTCATGCAAAATTACCAACCCCTCACCTTGCTCAGAAAGCCATTTCCTTAGTGCTAAAATAGCTAAATTAGTCTTGCTTGGCCTTGTAAAGGAGCTTGTCTTGTTTATTGAGCGATAAATATAAAGGTACAGTAACTAAATTCATCAGTCCCTAAACGCAGCCGTTGGGAATGGCCATTTCCACCATCCAATCTACGGCTGCATGAATATTTCAGAGTCCTTTTTCCCTTGGGTGCTCGCCTTATCTCTGGA